GAGGGGCCTGAAAACTGAAGGCCCCTCCCATTCTACTTTTAAATACTCTAGGAACAACAAGTAGGCCTGCAGAGTGGGAGCGAAGTGCTCTAATAGGGTGATATGGTACTACAAGGTCATTAAGATAAGATGGGGCCTGATTATTTAAGACCTTGTATGTGAGGAGCAGGATTTTGAATTCAATTCTGGATTTAAGCCAATGAAGAGAAGCCAAAACAGGAGAAATATGCTCTCTCTTTCTAGTCCCTGTCAGTACTCTTGCTGCAGCATTTTGGATTAACTGAAGACTTTTCAGGGAGGTTTTAGGACATCCTGATAATAATGAATTACAGTATATTTCTAATTTTAGCAATTTTGCACAAATAGAAGAAAGAAGTCCTACGTGTTTGTTTAATATGTGCACTGATGGACATATCCTGGTCAAAACCGACTCCAAGATTTTTCACAGTGTATTGGAGGTGAAGGTAATGCCATCCAGAGTCAGCAAATGGTTTTTGGATCAGTGCTTGGACTCCTTTAGTTTTTCCTTATAGTCCTTTGCTACAGGAGTATGGAAAGTTTTAGGCTCTAAATGTAAATTCAGGACAAAATAAGGACTTTTTATTAAATAACCACCTTCTTACAGAGTAAGGTACAAAACACACTTGTGCCCCACATTTTGAAGTTGGTGGTGGACTCATCATGCAGGACTCGGTTGATTTTAGACGCCATGATGTTAAGATTTGTGCTCTTGAGAACCTGAAAGAGCACAAATCTCATTCCTCTCGCAGTTGAATTTGGTTCTTTGTGACTGTGGCTGGATGCTAGGGCTTGCTGTCCTGCTGCAGGATGAGTCTGGGGCCAATGAGATGCCTCTGCGATGTAGGAGAATCTGGGAAATCTAAAGCAGCCACATACTGTACGGAGTGTGAGTCAGTGGCTGCAGATGACAGAAACTGAAGGCTGCAGCGCTTCTGACGCCACATTAATGTCTCCATCGCAGTGTGTTATTTGTAACAGGTGGAGGGAACAGGAGGTGGCAGAGCGCCATGGCAACAGCCTCTCTTACTTCGCCCACACACACTCCCTCTTCCATCATCTTTCTTGATATAGCTTCCTTCTCTCTTCTCTCTGCATCGTCAGCTGACTGTTTTTTGCAGCTCTGTCGCCTGAATGCTCTCACGCCGATGTGATCGGGCTTATTTTAGTCGCCCGGGATCCAAACACTCACAAACGTAAGCAGCACCAGAACCCGAGCTGATTAAATATGAATATACAGAACAGAGGATGCTAAAAATGCCCGAAGCCGCAGTTCCTCCGACAGCCACCAGATGCTCCCGGGGAATGCTCTGAATGTGTGGAAGTAAAAGTTAAACTAAAAAATGAAGCTTGTCTGTTTGGTCTAACAGCCTAATCAGAGACTTGAGCTAAAGCCTCCCATCAGAAAGAGTTACACATTCAATGTGTTGTTATACTAATATTACCTATTCATTCATTTATTTTTATTTATGATAGCATATAACATATTTCATTTATGTTGTTCTGTATACACCAAATTGAGCCGTGCTCCTAACTTTGTTGTATGCTTACACTTAGAGCGATGCTGAAGGTCAAAGAAAAAGTATCTGAAAAGTTTGGGGACCTTTCTGAAATATGTCAGAGATGTTTTCAGCAGAAATCAGAGCAGCTGTTTGTTGTTTGTCGCACAGTTTTCTGTTTTTAATCAGTTTTTTTAATTGAGGGCTGGATTTGATCTTAGCTTTTAGCTTAGTTGAACCACATTTAGCAGCAATAAGCTGAAGTAATTCTTTTCTCTATGACTTTGTCTTCTCTGCTTCAGGTCACTGAGGTTCGTGCACAGCTCTCTGAAGGTCTGGACTTTGACCTGACCGCTGCTGCACTGACTCTTTTAATATTCAGGGAATCTGTTGTAGATTTGCTGCTGTGCATGCGCTCATCATCCTGTTCCATGTCTCAGTTTCATCCAAGCTTTAGTTGTCACACAGATGGCCTTACGTTAGACTCGAGCATACTTTGGTACACAGAGGAATTCGTGACGGACCAAGTGACTGCAAGGTGCGCAAATCATCACCTCCCCACCACCTCGCTGACTGTTGGTCTGAGGTGTTCGTGCTGATTTGCTCCACACAACATCATTTTGGTCCCATCTGTCTAAAGGACGTAGTTCCAGAAGTTTTGTGGTTTGCTTAGGAGCACCTTCTGTTCTTTTTAGAGTGAAGAGGCTTTCTGCTTCCACACATCTAGTTTTTTTATTTGTACCGTCATGAACTTCACTGTTTAACATGCTGACTGAGGCCTGTAGAGTTGGATATTTTGCAGTTTCCCTGATCATCAGAGGGTCTGAACTCACAGTGAATTTCTTGGATGTGGGAACACAGCTGAATGCTCCAGACCTGCAAATGTGTAAAACTTCTGCTTTTATAGATGTGCTCGGACTTCCTGATGATCATTTAATCAAATGCATCTGATAATCACCCCCTGGGAGCTATTTTGTTTTTTGCCATGACTGTTAAGAGTCCTGTAAAAACTTTATATTCAACATGACCGTATGTCATTTGTTTCATAGTTTGAAACTAATAACTTTTTATTAAAATCTTTTTCCACCTTGTGTTTTTAACTTAATGTTATATTTCTTCTTTCAGGTTAAAATAATCATAATGCAGCACTATAGTGTGCTAATAATAATAATAACAGTAATTAATATAATAACTAATAGCATTAACTAATGCTGTTAGTTAATTATATTATATGTGTTTCACTTTTTTAAGTGATATTAGTATAAGATGATAAGATGTAAAACTTATGTGTATATGTAGGTGGTCTCTGTAAAATGTGAGATGGGCTCCTTTATTAAAATTATTTGAATATTTACTTCTCTTTACCTCACCCTGACAGCACACCTTGCCCAAATTTGGTGTATCGAGGCTCCTTGTAATTCAGTCGCCATTGCTGATGACCCTAACACTAACCTATCAGAGGATGTAGTTTGGTCTTTGTAATCAGGGGCAAGAGTCATAATGTTTTGACTGTCACACATCAAAAATTATTGATTGTGTTCTTCTAAAATCTCTCCCACATTGGCTCCCTGTTAAATCCAGAAT